AGCCTCATGGCGCACCTCATGGGCACCGGGTGGGGGCTTTGCCAGGCCATGGCATCCAGCAGGTGCCACTGCAGGCCCCCATCTCAACACCACACCTGGTCACCCTCGCCCCAGCACCCACACCTGCCCTGGAGTGGGGACCACCCCCCTCAAAACACCTAGTGGGTCACCCTGAGGACAAACCAGGGCCCTACATGGTCCGAGTCCTCGGAGCTGTAACTCCTCGCCGTGCCCCTCCGACTTCCAGCGCTTGTAGCGGTACCGATGAGCTCCGTGAGGAAGGAGGTCTTCTTGGTGTAGCGTGTGATGAACTTGTGCTTCAGGAGCTCCTTGGCCGTGGGCCGCTGCAGGGGGCAGAAACACGGGTCACCGGGCCCAGCCAAGCTCTGCCTCCGGGAAGCGAACGTGAGGCAGCCCTGGACCGGGCGGGTCCTCACCGCTTGTGAGGCTGGGGGTGCTGAGGCCTCTGGGCGGCGCGGCCCTCCCTGAGCAAACGCCCTCCCTCCACGTGTCTGTCGGGAAGGGGCCGGGGCCGAGGCGGGCCTTACGAATCGGGGGTCCTTGTTGAGGCAGGCCTCCACGAACTCCTTGAAGGGCTTGCTGTTGCTGGCCCTCCAGTGTGGGTGGGCTGTTCTTGGGAATCAGGAACAGGACGCGCATGGGGTGGAGGTCAGAGTTGGAGGCTCCCCCTTGGCCAGCTCAATGGCCGTGATCCCCTAGGGACCAGATGTCGGCCTGGAGAGAACACAGGACTGTCGCTGCCCTGAGCACCTGAGCTGGGTGCACCAGAGCCACACACTGCCCGCACCGCCCACTGCACCCACCTTGAAGTCGTAGGCGGACTGCTTTGATGACCTCAGGCGCCATCCAGAAGGGGGTGCCCACAAACGTGTTCCTCTTGATCTGCGTGTCTTGAGCTGCCCGCCACCCCGAAGTCCGCCAGCTTCACATCCCCCTGCTCTGAGAGCAGCACGTGTGCAGCTGCTTGACACGGACAGGCAGTGTCATCCCAGGCCCCACATGGCTCCACCCAGGGTCCCCTGAGTAGGGCCAGGTACCATCCACTGGCCTCCCAGGGCGCAGCAAAGCTGTCCTCAGGACCTCAGCCCCCCTTGCCACTTCTCAAACCCAGGCCACCTAGGGCACAGGGGCGCTGCCGAGCAAGAGGCCGAGGGCTCCCACTCCGAGCTCCAGGCTCTCCCTGCATTTGGCTCTTACACTAATCCCAACGACGGAGCTACTCTACCCACTGTGGGCCAGTGCAGAGGTGGACCCTGACCCAGGGTGTGGCCAACACGGCCTGCCAGGAAGCCCCCTGCTCCACCAGACATCGTCCCCTGCACAGACAGGGGATGGTGTGGTACCGGTGGCAAGTCCCTCCCCATGGGCGGTCCAGCCTCTCCTCTGCACTCAGCAGGGCCAGACCAAACGCCGGGGCTACTCAAGTCTAACACCAGCCATTGTGCCAACGAGCCACAGGCGGGAACCAACAACTCCTCTAAGTGCGGCTCCTTCCTACACTGGGTGCACAGCTGGTTTCCTCAGCGTACGGGGAAACCGTTACGAGCAGCATCTTCTGAAGATGGAGTCAAGACAGGACTGCTCAGTTTCAGGGTGGCCATTGGGTTCTCTATACCCCAGACTCTGAGCACCAGCAGCCACCTGCCCCACACAGGTGCCAGCCTCTGAGGTCGCGGGACTCAGGACAGTGCAAGAGCCACCCTCCACCCCAGCAGGACCTTTGATGTCTCGGTGGCTCTTGCGCTCGGAGTGCAGATAATCCAGCGCCTTCAGGAATACTCCCGCAGGATCGTGGCAATGTACGTCTCCCTCCAGGGGGCCTGGCTTCAGCTGGAGAGAAGGTGGGGACAGCAGGCCTGAGCTCCTGCCCTGGGCCCAAAGTCCGAGTCCCGCTCGTCTGACAGGGGAGGGCTGTCCCTGCAGAGCTGGGGGCTTCGTGTTCCTTTACCTCGCAAACAGACTCAGTCTCACATGGGAGTGGGGTGGTGGAGGCTCATTCTAAAGCATATTAAGCCAGGCTTCACCTTACTGTCGTGTAGGGGAAAAACAGGGTCCCGGCCATCTCCCAGCGTGCAGTTCCCACCACCCCCAGGCCAGGACCCCTTTCAGCACACAACTGGGCAGACGTGCAGATGGCAGTTCATTTTTGCTTTAGATGATTCCTGATTAACACCTAACTCGGTGTGATACCAGAGAGGTGGCCCCTGGAGCCCAAGACTGAGGGGCAGGGGACGGGGACACTGCACGACCCCCCACTGCCGTGGCCGATGCCTCACCAGGTCCAGCGCAGAGCCGCCACCCAGGTACTCCATGATGATCCACAGCTTTGGTGCTCTGGGACCGGAGACAAGCCCGTCAGCATTCGGCAGCAGGAGGAAGGGCAGGCTCCAGGGTGGAGGGCCCAGGCCCCACCGGTCCCACCCCTGCCAGGAACCCTGAACAGGAAAGGGCTCCCTCGGCCTTGCCCATCTCCCCTCCTGCCACACCCCTGCTACGGACACTCGGAGAATGGATCGAATACACAGAACAGTGGCTGAATCCACTTCACCAAGACCCCGTGGAAAACCAGGCTGCTGACCCCAGTGCCGCAGGGCCAGGAAGAGGGAACGCCCGGCAGACGCAAGGCCGACACACCCATCATCCTCCTGGGCAGGATGGCCACAGCCTTCACTACACCCCAGACCCTGGGCACCACCCGTCACTTGCCCCTCACAGGCCCACTCACTACTGCTGGCAGGGGGCCCCCCAGAGTGGTCCTAGCAGCACCCTCATGCCACTCCCACAGGCAGGCAAGTGGGCCCCAATGGCCATTCAGAGCCGACTTCCCCTCGTGGACCCTGCTCACACCCCACCCACCCTGGGGCGATTTCCTGG